GGGGGGGGGGGGGAAGTGTCACCTGTTTGGGCTCTGAGCCACCATGGGCTCACACCCATGTGTGGGTACACCGGCTAGTCTCCACCCAAGTACTTCCAAGCTTGGGTGGGTGCTTCCACTCACTGCTCAACTGTAAGCAAGAGAGCCCAAGGACATGAAAAAGATCTGCGTTCCACCGAGGCCTGGAAAGCTGGGTTACTGCTAGGACCAGACACTACGCTTGGAACCAGAGTCTCTAGGATGAGGAAAGCTCGAGCTCACGCAAACCAGCAGTCCACTATTTTAATATTCTCCATGCAGAATGTTGAGCACACTTGGTCTACCCTGCCCTCATACCTGCGCTTGTTTACCCGTTTACGCTTCTTGGCAGACCTCTGGCTTTGGCAAGCAGAGCCACCCCTGCCGCTGCGCTCCCTGAACTTCCTGCCACACCCATCCCTAGCAGAGGAGAGGCGAGGAGGAAGTGGTTCCTTGAGAATGAGACCACATGTCCCCAAAAGTCCCCCCGCACTTACACCTCTTCGCAGAGGCCCCGCCCCAGGGCTTGGGAAGGTCCAGGGCCTCAAGGGGAGCCCTGTGACCGGAGACCACCTGGCTTTCACACTTCCCTGGAGAGGAAGCTGGTTTGGGCCTGCACAGATGTTTTGTTCCACTTGTCAGCTGGAGTTGTTCCCTGCTCATAGCACCCAGGGGTGGAAATCTAGGGAGGAAGAAAGACCAACCACTGGGCAGGGCTAAGCCAGTAAAGAGGTTAGGTTAACGCTTTGCAGGGCAAAGGGATAATCTATGCTGAAGCTGTGGGGTCTCAAACCACTGATGAGCTTTGCAAGTCACCAAATCTTTCATGGGCCTGATGGATCTCCTTTCATGAACTCTCTGGATCATTGCTGTCATTGTGGACCACCCACCCTTCATCCATCACTTGTTAAGGGATTTGAGAGGCAGTCTGAGTAGTGATTAAGGGCCTGGACTTGGGAGCCTGGGTTCCAATCCCAGCTGTCCCCCTTACCGACTGTGTGGCAGGGACATGGGACACGATATTTCACTTTTCTGTACCTTAGTTTCTATTGAGAATGTTGACAATAGTATTTATTTCATGGGTTTCGGGAGGATTCAAGGAGCTAAAAATACGGAAGCTCTTAGAACTCTGCATGATGCACAGGATAACGTATTATTACAATCAATGGCATTCACAACCCCTCCTCAGAAAGGGAAGTAATTCAGAGGGGTCGACTGACTTAACTCAAGCTCCACAGCTGGTGAGTGGCAGAGCCGGGGCCCCGGATCTTTCCCTCATCACATGTTCTTTCT